GGCTGGGAAGTCGGCGGAGCAAAGCATCTGGAATCAGGCCATCAAGGCCGAAGCTCATGTTGGAGAAGGGAATGTGACGGGGGGCTTCTCTTGGGACGGATCCAAGTACTACGAGCCCTTCCGATTACCACGCTCCGAGACTGCTCGATCGCGGCTGGACTGCCCAGCGTTGTGGTCAAGGTAACTTTCAATGTTTGGCGCGGCCCGCGCATCCTCCGTCTCGGGACGGATCATAGTGTCGTCCCGTTGTATGCTTCGTGCGGGCTGCCTGCGGGGTCGCGTTTCAATGACATTAATGTTAAGGTGTGCACGCTCGAGCCCTTCAACAAATTTCTCGAGCGCAACCGCGATGTGGATTTGGCTTCCGACGTTGACGATGATACGGTCAGCGCCGATGGAAGCCCTGACCAAGTCGTGGAGGTGCTGGGGAAAGCTGCCGATGACCTTCACGATGTTTTTCGGAACGGTTTAGGAGTCGGACTTGCGGCCGACAAGCTTTTGACGTTCGCCTCCTCGCCTGCTCTGTCGCTGCGGATCGGACGTCGCCTCGGAACGCTGGCGGGCACTGTGGGAACCCACGTTGTCTCCCTGGGTGTCGATTGGGCCTCTGGTGTGAGGAGGAATGCTAAGCAGGCTTGCAGCAATAGAAAAGGAATACTTGCTGATGTGATTTGGAGGCACCGTAAGTTGAAACGCTTGAAGAGGGCCCTTCCCAGGGACAAAAGTAGGATTGGACAAATCTCCACGGCGGGGGTCCGACCTGCGGTGTCCTTCGGGGACACGGTCACGGGCTGCACCGACGCTGAGCTTAAAACGATCAGGTCGGTTATGCTTTCCTTTTCCTCACCCGCTCACGCGGGAGTGCCGACCCAGGCGAAGACAGTGCTGCTCGGTGATCCAGTTTGGCGCAGCATGGTCGCGCCTGCCTCAGCCTGGGCCGCTGCCGTTCGGCAAACGACAACTAAGCCCGCGCTCGCCTTCTTCACGCTTCCCGAGCTGCGCAACATGTGGTTGGCGGTGCCGAAGGACGGTTTCACGTGGAAGAATTCGAGGGGCCCCATTAGCCGTATGTTTTTGTCGCTTCAGCGTATTGGCTGGGAGGCCCTGGGGCCGCTTTTGTGGAGGGATGACAAGGGAAACGGGCTGTCGTTGTTGTACAATTCCCCTGCGATGTTAGGATCCCTCCTGCGTGAAGGAGTTCAGAGGCACCACGAGAGGTCCCTGGCCGCCAAGCTCGGACGGGGGGAAGGAGAGCGAGTGCGCCTTGAACCTATCCGTCGAATCACTAAGGCGTCGGGCAAGGGGAGTGGGCTCAATGCTCAAGGTAAGTACATGGTCAAGTCCCTTTTCTGTAACGGTTGCTGGTGCGAAGATCGTGCCGTCAAGGCTGGTTATTCATCGTCGGGATTGTGTCCTCTCTGCCGTCTGCCCGATTCTCTGCCACATAGATTGTGCCATTGCGTGGGTAGTCCTGAGGTCCGTGCCGCCCGCTCGGCCGTTGAGGCCAGTGATTTCTTTTACCAGCAGGCGCGGGATGGCCCCAGTGAGTTCTACACGGGACTCAAGTTTCGCCACCCTGCTAGTTCGTGGCCGCCACCCAGCGACGAGCACGAGCCCATGCTGTTTGCCGCGGACGGATCGCCCTTATCCCGGAACGATTTCGACACCACGGGGACGAGTGTTTCTGGAGATGGGTCCTGCGGCCCTCACGCCATCAAAGAGCTTTCCAGGGCAACGTATTCGTGGGTGGTCGTGGGGCCCGAAGGGCAGCAAGTGGCGACGGCGAAGGGCACGGTCTGGCCGTCGCTTCCGCAGACGGGCCAGGCGCGGAGCAGCTGCAGCTGAGTCTTTTGCCAATTTTCGTTCCGAGGCATGGGGAAGCGCGTTATAGTGACTGTATGAATGCTGTTCGATTACACAACAGTACGCCCCAGCAACAGCTCAGCCACAAACATAAGTATGCGGGCCTGCGCAGAGGAGCGCTGCAGCACATGGTTAACAACAAGTATGCCCCAGCTGTTTTTTACCCCAGCCCACAGAGAGCTGAGTGTTATTGATGCGCTCCCTGCCCCAGAAAGGTGGATAGGCCAGGCTAATTGGCAGGCGGATTTAGTAGCTAAGACTGCGCTAAGAGTGCACCCGCAACCGTCAGTTGCTGTGGTAGAGGCGGTCAACAATGCGGTGGAGCAACTCCAGACAGTCGCGCGCCTCGCCGCGGGGATCCTCCCACTGTTTCCGAAGGTCCAACACCAGCGTCCGCCGACAAAGGAGCGACCTGTCAAACTTTTTGATAAGAATGATGGATGGCATTCCTGGGAGCCTTGGCTGTGGGGCTCTAGATGCATTAGTTGTTTGAATTTCTACAGTGGAATGAAGGATTCGAGACCCGGGGCGGGTTGTTCCGGTTTCCCTGCGAGGGCGAAGGAGCTCTTGACCCTGTCCCCTCGTCACGGCCATCAGTTGGCCTCTACGCAAGTGGCTAACCAGTCGAAGCCACTCTTCTTTTGCATGCTGTGTGGTCATTTCGCCCAGCATAGGATCTTCAAGTTAGCTAAACGCTGTCGCCAACCTCGCACGGACGAGGACAGGAGCAGCGCGGGAACGACGGCTCTCAGGAGATTGCGGAGAGGACTGCATCCGAAGAGAGAGCTGTCAGTCACATGCGCGGAGCATGAAGCTCCACTCACCCTGCAAGAGGCTAATTCATACGAGCAGGTGGCCAGGCATGCGCGTATCCCAGCTCACGCCAGCTACATCGATAGGCTGGCGGCTCTGCGAGCGCGTATTGCTGCGAAGGAAGCGGGCGCGGTGGAGCGGGGAGCGGGTGGGGGAGTAACGCGTCAGGCTGCGGCTGAGGCGAGGTCGTCCAGACTTGCCCCCGAGCCAAGTGGCGATGTGTACGCAGAGGACGAAGCTGCGCGTTTTCGTTTTGAGGATGGAGTCACGCCCCATGCGGCGGCATCCGCCCTCGCCACGGATCCCAGGTCCAGGCTCGATCGAGCGGACTCCTCGCGAGGAGGGGAGGATAACGTTCCCCAGGTCGCAGGCATGGTCAAAGATGACCATGATTCGGGACCCTCGGACTGAAGCGAGTCGAGAGGCAGCTGGCCAAGGCCCCCTCCCCGTTTGGGAGGTGAGCGCTGTGGTCTCCTGCCCCTCACCGACGCTCAGTCTGGTGGGCCGCTGTGCGGCCCGTTTGTTACTGGCTCGGTCAAACGTGACCAAAAAAATCCTCCTCCTCCTCCTCCTCCTCCTCCTCCTCCTCCCCCTCCTCCTCCTCCCCCCCTCCTCCTCCTCCTCCTCCTCCTCCTCCTCCTCCTCCTCCTCCTCCTCCTCCTCCTCCTCCTCCTCCTCCTCCTCTCCTCCTCCTCCTCCTCCTCCTCCTCCTCCTCCTCCTCTCCTCCTCCTCCTCCTCCTCCTCCTCCTCCTCCTCCTCCTCCTCCTCCTCCTCCTCCTCCTCCTCCTCCTCCTCCTCCTCCTCCTCCTCCTCTCCTCCTCCTCCTCCTCCTCCTCCTCCTCCTCCTCCTCCTCTCCTCCTTCCTCCTCCTCCTCCTCCTTCCTCCTCCTCCTCCTCCTCCTCCTCCTCCCTCCTCCTCCTCCTCCCCCCTCCTCCTCCTCCTCCTCCCCTCCTCCTCCTCCTCCTCCTCCTCCTCCTCCTCCTCCTCCTCCTCCTCCTCCTCCTCTCCTCCTCCTTCCTCCTCCTCCTCCTCCTCCTCCTCCTCCTCCTCCCCCTCCTCCTCCAGGACGTCGCACGTGTGCCTCCATAGGAGGCCCACCGCGAGCGCACCCGCCGGCGGCCGGGCGCGCCGGGAGCCGCCCCGTCGCCTCCGACGCCGCCCTCGCCCCGGCACCGGCTGAGGTCCGACGCCGCGGCGATCGTGCAGCATCGGCCCCGGGCCCACTCTGCGGCGTTTTCAGGAGGGGAGAAAACATACAGACACCATGAATCGTCCACTCCCAGGAAAAGATGAGCAAATATGGGAAGTGTGGGGGGGGGGGAAGACAAAAACTCAAACATATGGGAAATATGGGGAATATGTTTTTTGTGTATTTATTTGTGTGTCCTGGGCCCTCTACGACGCTTGCCGAGCCGCATCGGCACCCGCGAGGGCCCCGCTGCCCAGAGCGGGGCGAGAAGCGCCCGGTCCGACGCAGAGTGCGACGCCAGGATCTCATTGGGCGGGGCGAGGGCGTCGCTGGGTCTCAGGGCACGGACCCGGCGATCCGACGCTGCGGAAAAATTGCGCATCGCGACAAGTCAAGAGCGGAGCCTCAGACCCCGCCTCCCTGCGGCATTTGTAGAGCGGGATCGATCCGCGACGGTCTCGGGGCCCGAAATTTGGCACGCCAGAAATGTGTACGGAAACCATGGGTACGATGCCCAGTGGCAAAGGCTGTCCCGAACTAACAGCGGCCGCCGTTGGGCAGACGACGACGACGACGACGACGACGACGACGACGACGACGACGACGACGACGACGACGACGACGACTCGACGACGACGACGACGACGACGACGACGACGACGACGACGACGACGACTCGACGACGACGACGACGACGACGACGACGACGACGACGACGACGACGACGGCAACACAGGCAGCGAATCCCAGTGGCAAATGCTGTCCCAAACCAACAGCGGCCGCCGTTGGGCAGGCGAGCTTGCGCCTCGAGTGGGCGACGCCCGCGGCGACACAAGAAGGGAATCCTGCTCAACGGCTCCTCGGCTCCTTGACTCCTCGACTCCTCGACAACGACGACGACGGCGACTCGATGACGACGACGACGACGACGACGACGACGACGACGACGACGACGACGACGACGACGACGACGACGACGACGACTCGACGACGACGACGGCGACCACGAGGACGACGACGACGACGAGGACGACGACGACGACGACGACGGCGACTCGACGACGACGACGTCGACGACGACGACGACGACGACGGCGACGTACCGGAGGCCCCGGCGCGCGCGGCGGGCGCAGGCCGGGCACGAGCTTCGCGCGGCAGCCGCCGGTGCCCGGCGAGTCGCGCTTCGGGGCGCTGTCGCGCGGGCTGGAGGACGCGAGGGGAGGCGCCTCCTGCGCCCGGGGGGGGGGGACGCCTCGCTCTGCCACGTGACGGGGGAGGGCACCTCATCGATCCTCGAACCTCCTAAATCCTCGATCAACGATCCTCGATCAACGATCCTCCTCCTCCTCCTCCTCCTCCGTCTCCTCCTCCTCCGCCTCCTCCCTCTCCTCCTCCTCCGCCTCCTCCCCTCTCCTCCTCCTCCTCCTCCTCCTCCTCCTCCTCCTCCTCCTCCTCCTCCTCCTCCTCCTCCTCCTCCTCCTCCTCCTCCTCCTCCTCCTCCTCCTCCTCCTCCTCCTCCTCCTCCTCCTCCTCCCTCTCCCCTTTTGCCCGTCTCCCCCTGCTCTCCGTGCCATCCGATCGCGCCCGCGCGCTCCTGCCCGCCCCGCTCCTCGGGGGGGGGGGGGGGCACATGGCGGGGCGGTGTGGAGCATAGGCGGGGCGTCCTGTCTCGCCCACGCGGAGGCCCACCAAAGACGACGGCTCTGAGGAAGAACCTTCGGGGGTTGGCACAGGATGCTATCAGAACATTGCTGGGTGAGGCAGCCTTGCACTTAGCAGTTTTCCCTAGAACAAAAGCGTGGCCCTTGAACAGGCTCTTCTCTATATTCGAACATTCTTGTGCTCAGAGATCAGATGGTGGCAGAGGAATGCTGGGACGATCGGTCCCGGCTCAAGGATAGGCTCAGGGGGGAATGCATCGATTCTGAGTCTCGGGGGTGGACAGACCTCCTACCCTGACACGTCGATTAGTGAATTGTCCGTTTTTGGTTTTCGAGAGGGCGTCGCGGCCGTCATTTTTGCGGGTCCAGGTCCGTCGGTTTCGTTCCCAGGTCGTTTTCACTAAAGGGAGGTTTACTAAAGGGAGTTCACCGCCCATTCATCGCCGATGGGGGCCCGATAGCCCACCCCGCCCAGGACAGTGCGGATTCGCCGTCGGGAGCCCGTCGCCGGCCTGTCGGCGATGTATCGCCGATTCGGGCTCGATGGCCCCCCCCCACCGATGAAGCCGTGGCGAAGCGTGCTGGCGATCCTATAGGCCTACCGCACAATGTTCTAAGAACCTCTTGTGGTTTCCACGAAATGTTCTTAGAGCATTTCTGGCTGGGACTGTCTTGTTCTAACACACTGGTTATATGTTGTAAGAGCATTGTTGTTGTTTGTTCGCACACTTTTGGGTTCTACGAACATTACGTTGTGGGCCTATAGGAATGCCTGGACGGTCGGTCCCTGCTCAAACCCAGGTGGTCCCCCACTGACGTTGCCCTCATGCCCGCTCCGCCTTGCCTGGCCTCCCTTCAGATCCAGGCGACGCCAAAAAGATCGCGAAGGCTGGCGTTTGAACGTTTTCGGCCTCTGGGAGCTGTCTCGGGCGCGATGGACGCCTTCTCGGGCTCACGATAGGTGCGTGGCTGCACGCGGGCGCGTCATGCACCCAGGCACCGAAGGAGAGTAAGTCTTCAGATCCACGCGGCGCATCAGACATCGCGACGGCTGGCGTTTGAAATCGCTCTTCGGCCTCTGGATGCCGTTTCTCGGCCCCGGCACCGTCAAACAACGATTCAGAACGACAAGCCGATCCCTGGGGACGAGGTCGAGACCTCCGGGGGCCCACGACGCGAAATGACTGCGCCATCGGAGGAAGGGGTCGCCCTGACGCCCTCTCACCTGCTCGGAGGGCCTCGTGGATGCGGGCACCAGTGCTGGAGTTTCTCAGGGGGCAGGTACCGGTGCCACTGCGACAGGTTCGACGATGAGATTTTCCAGGGTGTGGGAGGGTGCCCGCAGTTTCCGACCTCTGGAGGCCCGCCTCGAGCCCCAGGACCGTCAGGAATCGATTTGGGGCGACTATCCGCCCATGGATGGACCCTAAGAGGAGCCCAGGGACCGAGGAGGAGGAGGAGGAGGAGGCGGAGGCGGAGGAGGAGGAGGAGGAGGAGGAGGAGGAGGAGGGGGAGAAGGAGGAGGAGGATGATGAGGAGGGGACCGATTTGGGCCGTTTGTTGGCCACGGCAAACGCCGCCGGTGGCCTGGGATCGGCCGGTGTCGAACGGCCTGCCCTATCAGGAAGCCGCGGCCGCTCAAGGTGGAGCGATGCACGCGATGTCAGGGAGCGACGCGCCAGTCGTCGATGGAGTCGGCCGATGCCGAAAGATGTTATTCTATCTTTGCCAGGGGAGGAAAGAAACACCCAGACCCTTACACCTGGCGTTTACTAGACGGCCCTGGGCGTTTACTAAACAGCCGTGCCCTGCTCGATTTCTCCCTCGGGTGCGTTTATTGAACGGCTTCGCTTGTCGGGGTGCTTCTTCTGGGGGGGACGATTTTCTGCCCTCTTCGGAGGCCTAGAGGTTGACACCAACACCAATATCGACGATGTGCCTTCATCGGGCTCTCTCTCATCGCCCGAATTATGACCACCGGCACCAAAATCTAGGATCATCTTACCCCTGTGGAGGCAACCTCCTGTGTTGGTGTTGGTGCCCTTTGCAGGCCTCCAACCTCTACCTTGGTCCGGCTATTTTCACGACCTGGCTTCGGGTCATAGCCTGGGTCTCCGGCAGCCGGTCGGGACGACGCGATTTCCCGCTCATCGAGAGCAACAGGACCCTTGACCCCAATACGATGAAGATGTGGCATCACTTAGGTCCCCGTCGTCGCGGTAGGGATACTAAGTTTGGGCGGTTTGCCACCCTTCAGAAAGGAAAACGTTTCACGCTTCGCGTATCCCGACCAGCTCGTTCAGAAACGTTGCCCGTGAGAGTTGACGGGAAAAGGAGCGAAGAGACACATCTAGAGAAACAATTCGGGCAGCCAGGATGAACAGAGAGAGTCCTGGGAGCCAGGGGGCTGGCCTTTGAGGGCCTTTTCGGGCCATCCCTGGGGCCCGCCGGGGTGCGAGGGGAGGAGGAGGAGGAGGAGAAGGAGGAGGAGGAGGAGGAGGAGGAGGAGGAGGAGGAGGAGGAGGAGGAGGAAACATGCCTTTGGGGGCCCTCGTGGGACGCTGTTAGGGCGCTCTTGGGGCTGTCGTGGGGCTGTCCTGGGGGCCCTCCCTCTTGGGGCCCTCGTGGGGCTCTCCTGGGGCTCTCTTGGGGCCCTCTCGGAGCCCTATGGGGAGCACCGTATGGCTTCTTGGGGCCATCTTTTAGGGCGTCGATCAAAGGAGGGGGACCGGCACATCAGTTTTCCCCCAAGAGCTCTCGAAATCGCCTCCTGTGTCCCTCTTGAGGCGCTCTTGGGCGGCTTCTGGGCGCTCTTGGGCCGCTCTTGGACGCTCTTGGGGTCGTCTGGAGGGCCTCTTCGGCCTCTCTTGGGCCTCTCTTGGGCCTCTCTTGGGCCACCTTGAGGCTTCAAAAGCGCATCGGAAGCGAATGCGCGATAAGGCAACAAAAATATGGAACATCGATTTCCCGTATGTTTTGGCGAAAAGTATGTTGGCCTCTTGGGAGGGTCCCTGGAGGGCTTCGAGAGCACCTCTAGCAGTCTTGGAGCCTCTTGGAGGCATGTCGGAGGCTATCTTGAACCATGTTCGGCTATCTTGAGCCATCTTTGAGGCCATCTTGGGCGATCGTGGGGCCTCATTGGGGCCATCTTGGGCCGTCTTGGGCGCTCTGTCTCCTCCGCCCCCCCCGCCCAGACCCAGGGACGGGGTGATTGTGGGGGGTGAACCTCCCCGAAGAGACGAGGGTTTTTTGGAAGAGGGAAAATTGAAGTCTGCAGACCACCTTCTCCCAAAGGGCTGGTGGGATGATCTGGTTGGGAGGATGGAGCTGGGAGACGTGTTCATATCACCAATCTTACCGCGTATGTTGCAGGTGCTTATTACACAGTCGTTTTCTGTACAGTGGGAACCCATGCCAGGAAACACCCTGCTTGCCTCCAGGGTGCCCTGGGTTTCTTGGGTTTCGATGGTTTTGCGATGGAGAACGTGGCGCTCCCACGCTAAATATCGATGGACGTCCTGGGGTCTCAGGGTTGGGTTTCTTGTGAAAGGTTTCTTGTGGATTGGCCTCCACTGCATCACCAATATTACCGCGTATGCTGCAGGTGCTTCTTCTGAAAACCTGACGGCCGGTGCCGCTGACCCTGAAAGACATCGACGACGACCAGGAGGGGGAGGAGGAGGGGGAGGAGGAGGAGGAGGAGGAGGAGGAGGAGGAGGGGGAGGAGGAGGAGGAGGAGTCGTCGTCGTCGCACCCATTCGAGCTCAAGTTCGTCTGCTGGCAACTGACCGCTGCTACGCTCTGGGCCACGGCTGTTTCGCCTGAACTCTGAAAAGGGGACTCACGTTTCCGAGCCAGCCAGCCCAAGACACGCAAGATTACTTCTGAGCGGGGGCGGAAACGGTGGAACGGCGTCCAGCCCCTGGCTGGTACGCCCCACGCGGGGCGGGCATTCTTTTCAGTGGGCTAGGCAGGTCTACCTTCGACCACAGCCGAGTGGGCGCACACACAACACCCACTCTACGGCGGTACAATGGCAGCCCCCCTTGCCCGTCTCTACCGATAGCACAACTGTCTATTAACCTAGCTTCACCTGGCGCACGAGCTTACCCCTGGGAGCACGGCCAGCTTTGTTGTTAAAGCCTGCGGCGCGGAAGATTCGATACAGAGCCTGCTCTACTGCGATCACCTTCCCGTGTCCTAGCTGTGCGAACTCGAGCGGACTCCGAATGACTCGAACCTCTGCCCTGCGCTTGTCTCCCTCTTCCGCGTCCTTGTCCTCTAGAACCTTCCACTGACTCTCCTGCTCCTCGTAAGCGTTGGGTCCTGCCTGGTTGGGGTCTGGCAGCGTGATATAGCCCAGGACCTTGACCGTAATCCTCGAGATGCTGCTGTCTGCCGTCGAGCTGGTTCCGCACTCCTTGATCCACGTGCTGGCCTGCTCCTGATCTCCCTTCATCATCATCAACAGAAGCCTCCGAGGGATGTCTGCCAACTCCTTCACCGAGTCCTGGGCCTTGCCTGGCTTGTCGAGCCAACTGTTGAAAGCGCTGAGAAGTGC